AAATCCTAGCTGTGATTAATCAGAATTTAAAAAAATACTTTACTGTTATTCAACCCAAGTTGTTTTATGCTTATRTATGAAGTATGCATTTTTATACAGAAGGGAGATAGTGATTAAAAGGCATACTAGACTAAGTTAGCCTGGTTCACAGCCTGTGAATTTAATACTTGCCAGGAGATGATTCCATGCTTGTTGGTTATTATTATTTTCCCCAAACAATTCCATTATCACTTATGGGAAGCAGAGAATGATAAATGCTCTAGTGATCTGAGAATGGAGATTAGAATTGTGGAAGAATAAGATTAGAGGAATTGTTTGGGGGCGTGAGGAGGTGTCCAGGGAGTCATTTTAGGGAATGATATAAAGTGGTAGAGTAAGGGGTRGCCACATCCCTTTGTCAGGTCTCAGCTTTAGAGTCATTTGTTTTACCTGATGACTACAGGTGCTGGGGAAATTCTGTTACACTACAACTGAAATCCTTTAAAATGCCAAAAAGAAAAAAAAGAAAAAGAAAATGCAAATATAGAGACAGTGTTGGAGTTTAAGGGAGAAAAATGTGTATTTTGTTTCTMCTTGAGGGAAACAGGGCAAACTTTTTATTCTTTAAAATAAGCGAATATATTTGGATGTAATGAGTATTTAATATTCATGAAACTTAATGATATGGGCTGGGCTGTTTGACATTGTGCTCAGTGTCTTTTCTTCTAAGACTTTCAAACAGGAAAAAGAAAAATATAATTTCGGATTACTCAAGTACATTAAAGTGAGCCTTCATATGAAAATCATCTACTATCTATTTCAGTTTTGGGTTTGTTTGTTTTGTTTTATTTTGCTTTGTTTTTGGTTCTGGGGATTGTACCTGGGGTGCTTGCTTAATCACTGAGCCTCATCTTCAGCCCTTTTTATTTTATTTATTTATTTATTTTTGAAACATTGTCTCACTGAATTAGCTATGGCCTCACAAAATTGGTGAGGCAAGYTTTGAACTCAGGATCCTCCTGCCTCAGCCTCCTGAGCTGAGTCACTGGGATTACAGATATGCACTTCTGTGCCTGACCTGTTTTCAGATTTTCACACAACTTGAATTTTACCAACAATATAAATTATTGCAAAGGTTTGGTTATCCTAATTGTAGAATTGTTCATAGAAACAGCAGAAAGTTCAGCAAAGAATAATGCATTACCATCCAAAGGTTATAGTTAAATTATCTACTTTTACATGGAAATTTTACTATAATTTAGAAGAACTCAGGAAAATTAATGTTATGGGAAATTTAGTCTATATAATCAATAAAGATGAAACAGTTGTTGTTCCTTCACATAATAATATTTTTTTCATAAACTCTTTCTAACTAAACCAACTGAGGAGAACAGTAAATAATCACCTACAGAACACAATATAAATGGTGCTAAGCAAGCTCTGCTTCTAATTACATTTACAAAGCTGCAGRGAATCCGCCTGTCTTTATCCAAAAATTCAAGTTTATTACTTTGCCACACACATTGGTTCAGATATGTGTTCTGAGGATTTTCATTATGCCCTTTCAGTATCTAACAAGCTGTTCACCCATTTCAAATCAAGTCTATCTGATTATTTAAACAAGCTAAGAATATAGTTAACTGCTTAAACATTAGTTAGTAATTAATCCAGTCTAGGACTAAAGTCAGATTCTAAAGGTGGTGATGGGCTGTTGACTCTGTCAGAATTATGTGTCCTTTTTTAGGTAATGAGGGAAGTGGGAAATATTTGCAGAGGAAAARATGCCTCGAGGAGCATAGATCCTATTTGGCAATCTTTGCAGTGTGTGCAACTAGCACTGAAAAATGTCTGGAAATCACTAAATGAATGAAATCATACACATCCTCTGTGTGTGTGTGGTGGGGGTGGGATATTGTTTGAGCTAGGAACTGTGTGAATTGCTTTTCTTTTTATTCTTCTTTTTAAAGGACAGTAGCCAGATCAGCAAAGTATTTTTAATTAGAGAGCAGTTTTGCTAGTTCTAAGAATACATAATAAAAATAGTGGGTCTTGATCTGCAGTGCTACAGTTCTGTGATATAAATAGTTTWAAGTCATAMATGCTTTCTGTTCTGTTTATGATTATTTCAGAATTGATTTTGTTCCAGAAGTTCTGAATTTGTAATCACGTGAGGCCCTGTGACTTTTTGGGTAGAATTATCCTTCTATTGAGAATCTCTAGCTGCTTTTTCCTTTTTCAATTTAGTAATAATGGGAAAAAATTATACTTACCCCAGTGAGCCAAAAGGTAGATGAAGAAGAATCGTGAAATTACCAAGAAGAAAAGTTTCTTAAAATTGTCATGCAAGGGCTARGGTTGTCGCTCAGAGGCAGAGCACTTGCCTACATCTGCAAATCCCTGGATTCAGTCCTTAGCACCATATACACACAAAAAAATTTCATATAAAATTAAGTCTAATTTTATTGAACTAGTTTAAGTTATTTTGCACAAAATGAGAAAGATAGAAAGTTTTCAGTTTAGCAAATGTCATGACAATTTTCAGGCATATCTGAGGCATGGTCAAGAAGCTTCTGCTTAGCCACTCAGATTTATTTTATTTTACTTTTCTTTTTAAATTTTTTAATTGACATAATATTTGTGTATATTTATGGAGTATAGTATGGCAATTTTATATATGTACTTTAATGTATAATTAATAAATCACTTCCATATCCTCATTTATAATTTCTGTAATTATATAATTTCTGAAAACTTGGAACTCTTCTACTTACTTAAAAATACATAATAAATTATTGTACTCTATAATTGCCCTACAGTGCTATAGCACACTAATTCCTCCTGTCAACTGTATTTTGTTGCCCATTATCTAAAGTCTCACAATCCTTCCTCCTATCACACCCTTCCTAGAGCTTCTAGTGACCACTGCTATACCGTCTCCTTATATGGGGTGAACATTTTAGCTTCTACCTATAAGTGAGATATACAGTGTTTTCCTTTTTGTGCCTGATTTATTTCATTTACATAATGTTCCATCCATGTTGCCACAAATGATGTGATTTTATTCCTTATTATGGTTGAATAATATTCCATTATGTATGTACACATTTTCTTTATCTGTTCTTACACTGATAGACGTTATTCTGTATCGTGATTATTATGAAGTATGCATCAATAAATATAGGCATGCAGGTATCTCTGATAAAGATTTCATTTTCTTTGGATATATATATAGCTTATAGCCACTCACATTTATTTTTTAAAAGCCTATACAAAGGGAGGCATAACTCCTCACTAATTAAATTTCAGCTGGTTGTTGACTTCCTTGGAAGCACTATAGGAAGGAAGAGAAAAAGAAACTTGACACTTTGACAAACTGTTGAGTTTTGCTATTGATAAACTATATATCAGGCAAGTAATCAAGGTCAACATCAGCAGTGATGGATCATGTTCATATTATAGACCCTTTGATATGAGATGGTCAAGATGACACTTTCCTTCTGTGGTCCTCTTCCCAAAAATTTCTAACCCCAGGCTAATCATTAAAACATCTGACAAATCCCAATAAAGGAGCATTATAAAATATCTGACCAATACTTCATAAAACTCTCGTTCATCAAGACAAATGAGTGTCAATAAACTGTTAGAGCCAAGAGGAAATTTAGGGGGCATGATGACTAAAACTAGTGTAGAACTCCAGTTGTGATGCTGGGGCAGACAAAGGACCTTGGGTGGAAACTACGAAAATGTGAATAAATTATAAATTTTAATTCATTAATCAAAAGTTTTACACAATGTAACTTCATGTAGATATAAACACAGTTCTATTGTTCCATCTCAGTTAGGTAAAGATAGAATAGCTAACTCTTCCTCAGTGTTGCTGGAGTTCAAACTAAATGATTAGGTATTGACATTAACTTCTTTTATAAAAGTAAGAAAGGTTAGTAGGAAAATGGCTGAAGAGCAAGCTTAAGACTATAAAGAACAGCATTCAGAAGGAGATGAATATCAAAGTATATTAAGATTAAYATAGTGGATTACAAAATTAAGCCTACATCTTCGAAGAGTCGGYAACATAGCCTTAAGAGGGAAACCTCCTGATTTTATCAAAACAGAATATTGTTTATTCTAGTATAGTTATTTGATTAACTATAATGGCTTTTATGTTAAATAGCAATCTGATGATATGAATTAAGGCAGACACAAAGATGAACCAGTTCTTCCAAAATAGAAAAAGTCCTTGCTACTGGATTAAAAAAAATAAATTGTAGCTATAGATCAACAGAATGACTTTATTTTGTTTATTTTTTATGTGGTAGTGATCAAACCCAGGGTTTTACAGGTGCTAGGCAAGTGCTCTGCCACTGAGCTATAGCAGTTTTTCTCACCTGACAAATGAAAAACTTATAATAGCATAAAATCTTACCAACTTTTGGCAGAAATATAGACTTTTTTAGATTTCATTAATTGTTTAAAAAATTAACTTGGAAGATTTCTTTTCAATGTGAAGGTTTAAGAAAAAAAATTATTTGGACATAAACCTATTTATTTTAAGCATAATGTTATTTTTAAACCCCACCCAATTTAACTGGTTTGCAGTAATACAGACTTTATACTGGACACATTTCATACGCAACAAAGCAATTCGTAACTTTTAGAATGTACGAAGTTTTAAGAAGATTTTATAATCTGGATAACCAAGAATGATAGCATTAGTTCATTGTGTATTTTCATCTCCTCAATATATAGACCAATTTCTTGAAGAATTTTTGAACCTGATTGCAATAGACTTCTGCTCTTCTTCCTAGGTACTTTGCAATGCATAGAAGAAACCTATCAATCTATTCTTTCACAATATTAACCTAAAGGGATAATGGGAGCTCCCCCATCCATTATTCAAAGTTTATTTTAAGAAACACTCAATAGCAGACACCTTATTCAAAGAGAACTTCTCCTTAATAACCAGAAAGCATACACTCTGCATGTGGAAGAAATGGCAYCATCTTTCTCATTTTCTTTTCTAGTGCACTGACAGGCAGAACTCACCAGTCACATCACCAGGATCCTCTCCCCTTGCACAGAGAAGAAAGCCTCACTCGGACCCTCTCCAGATCCCACATCTCAACCTGCCACCAGTGCCTCCTCGCCTGGACCTAATTCAGAAAGGCATAGTGCGTTCTCCCTGTGGTAGTCCAACTGGTTCACCAAAGGTAAACCTATTTCATTAGAAACAGAGATAACAATTCTATGTGACAATTATTAATTGCTTAGGTTCTTTTAAATCCATTACTCATATTTCTTGTGTTTTTAATTGTTTATGGACAACTTTGATGGGCTTCTCATTTTGTTTATGGTGAGCCAATTATATTCCTTGCTTTATTACCATAAAAGTTACATAATTATTCAGAGAGAGCACACGACTGTTGCCCCCTGATTTGCTAAAATAAAAAGCACTGTAAGTATAGTTATTCTGTAAAATGGATTTAAAAGGTCATTATAGGCATTAAAATAACTTGTATGCTGTTATCAAATGATATTTTACACTCATTTTCATAATGTCATGACAAGAAAAATGTGATGGGAGTATATTTGCATAAGGGCTTAAGGTGTGATAAATTATCACCCATGTTTCAAGGTGACTCAGAAGAGAGAATTATATGTACATTTTATACCCAGAGGAATTAATTACAACAAATTACAATATTTGCAAAGTAATTACATTACTGTTTAATATTAAAGGCATAATTCTAACTCTGTAAATTTAAACCTACTGTCTATTTTAGTTTTATGTGGATTCTTTTTTTTCTAAATTTGATACTAAGGACATATTTTCTTTATTAATTGTAAGATTTAAAAACTAATTCCACTTAATAATATGCTTTATAATCCAAAATTAGTAGGATGTGCAATAATTTTAGCAGTATTTGCTTTTCCTGAATTATAGTTAATTTGGTTTAAAGCTTATATGAAGACCTATTTAGGATGTGACTTAGGATTATGTAAACATATAACATTATTTTTTTACTGATCTCTCCTAATATTAAAGCACAAACTATTCATTAGATGAACCACATAAATAAAAATCAGATACTATGAAAGACACGGAATATGTTTATAGGTAATACCATTTAAAATGAGATTGATTTATTTTTCCATTTCATAAGTCCATGAAAAATTCAAGCACTTCTATAAAATTGCTGCTCTATTATTTGTGATATTTTTCTATTCCCATAATAACTGATTAAGCAAAGAACCAGAATATATTTGCCATGTCAATTCTATTGTATTGTAATAATGAAAACAAAAATTCAAAATAAGTAAAATAATCTCAATTAATTTTGTGGATTCTTTGTGTGTCTCTGCTGAATCCTAGAAATGTCCAAAAAAATAATTATTGATATGATATTGTAATGTCAATCAAAGTGATGATTTTGATCTTTCTGTATTTTCTATAACATAACATTTGCATTTACATTTTCATTTCTTCAAAAACTTCTAATGAAATGCATTTATGTAAGTTTTCCATTTTTTTAATATTTAWTTTTTAGTTGTAGTTGGACAAAATACCTTTATTTGTTTATTTATTTTTATGTGGTGCTGATGATCAAACCCAGGGCCTTGCATGTGCTARGTGAGCACTCTACTGCTGAGCCACAAACCCAGCCCCACGTTTTCTATTTTTAAAATTTAAAATTAACAAATGACAAAAAGAAACGACTTAGATGTCTATCTAATATTGTTTCTTATAGTTTAGAAAACAAATACAATAAAATAGTAGTCTGGAAGTCTAATTTCATTGCCTGGCACAAATTTAGTTGTCTTTTTCTCTTGTGTCTCTTTAGTCTTCTCCTTGCATGGTGAGAAAACAAGACAAACCACTCCCAGCACCACCTCCTCCCTTAAGAGATCCTCCTCCTCCTCCACCTGAAAGGCCTCCCCCTATCCCACCTGACAACAGACTGAGTCGACACTTCCACCATGTGGAAGGTGTGCCTTCCAGGGACCAGCCAATGCCTCTTGAAGCCTGGTGCCCTCGGGATATGTTTGGGACTAACCAGTTGGTGGGATGTCGGATCCTGGGCGATGGCTCTCCAAAGCCTGGAATCACAGCAAGTTCACACACAAATGGAAGGCACAGTAGAATGGGCTCTGACCCTGTGCTCATGCGGAAACACAGACGCCATGACTTGCCTTTAGAAGGAGCCAAGGTAAGAAATATGCAATGTAGCAGCTAAGCATCTACCAAATCTACCAACAGGTGGTAGTAGAACTTTAGGTTGTGTTTTTCAGGAGATAGGAGTTTTTTTTTTTTTTTTCCTTCCTAATGTGGACTTTCTTTCAAGTCTTTAATTATCTCCAAGTTATAAATAATTAGAAGCTCATTAAAACTATAACTTAAACGAAGTCAGTAAGAAGGTTCTAAGTAATGATTTAATTTTAGTATGGAAACGCTAGACAATTTGCCAGAGATTTTTTTCACCTTTCCTTATTTCATCTGCCAAAATTTCTCCCATTAATAACTTGGTGGTGGTACACTCAGCACTCAATTGTATTTTTTTAAACTCTCCCTATTCTTTCAAAGTTAAAAAAAATTATACAATTTTATACACATGCATTATAAATCAGCCATTAGCATTTGTTGTTATATAGAACATTACACTTTAGGCAGCTGGGTAAAATGAACTTTTCACATAACAAAATTATGAAACCCAGTTCACTTACAAAAATAAGCTGTTTCCCCATAAAACTGAAAGAGTTTCTCATACTTGTTGAGTTTTCTCTTGAGTATCTTAAGGTATCTTTACACTATCATTTACATGTACAAGAAAGAATTTAATTGTTCAGAGACCTAAAGAGGCAGCACAGAATTCAAGAGTATAGATTTCTTCATAGTCCCTTGGTGAACCTGAACTGTAATGAATACTTTTATTTACTTCCATTATATTTTGGCTCTAAGATCTGATCATTGCCATCTGTGTCCACTGGAAGAAGATTTGGCTCTTTTGAAATGTATAATATTAAAGTGACCCTATCTCCCTTAATTGAAAATGGTTGTTTTAGGGTATGTTATCTATTTCTTTAAAGTAATTTTTTAAAGTTGATGAATTCATCATTGGTGAGTTCATCTTATATTCAGGAAACAAGGAACAAGTGTGAGATATGACATGTATTCAGTTCTTTGGGGTTGTGTGTGTGTGTTGGTACAGTGATAATGCAAACTGCTTATAACACTATATCAGTGGTGTTCTAGGGCAGCCAGGATAGGAAGAATCAAAACTCTCAGGTGCACATTCTAAACAAAAGGAATGGAGTAGTAGTGGTTTCCTGTGCCTCTGCCAGTGACTCAGCTTGGTACTGGCATTCCCTACTAAGAATATGAGCATTTCTAAAGGTTCCTTGGAGGTCACATAAATGTAATGCAAGTGTTAAAARAAAGCACTCAGAAAAGCAATTTGATAACCCTCTTTGAATATAGAGAACCTATACTCAAAAAAATTTCTTCACTTAAGAATCCTAGCTAGAGGTACTTGCTGTTATTTTTTTAAAAATTTCTGCTTTAGCCTCTGTTCATTCATACATGATCACACTTGTCTTGAGAAGAGAATTGGAACAAGCTTTAATGTGAATAAACTGGTCATACTTCARCAGCATGTTATAATGTATTTTCTGAGTGGACTTCAGAAACACTTAAAATATAATAATTATCATAGCCAATTCATTGAAGACCTCTTGTTTCAGGGTTCTTCCAGAAAATATGTTATATTGTTTTAATGCTAATATAAAGCTTCCCGTGTAAGCCCTACAATACTGGCTGTTAATATTTTATGAGATGTTATAGTTTCAAAAATTGGAGTGCAATTTCTCAGATTACAAATATGAAATTTATTTTATTAACTATATGAAAGATAAAATGGTGATTTCACTTATAAAGATTTCTTTCAGCGATTTTCTAAATTTTCATCTTCTGATCATTGATGTAAATATTATACCAGAGAACATTGAGTGAAATGCAAAATTTCTCTCTCACTCAGAACTGGATTTTTAATCTTTAGTTTAATCTAAATTACCCTCATTAAGATTCCTTAAGATGCAATCTCATATATTGTATATATTAGTACTATAGTGTTTATATCCTGAAACTTAAATTTAGGTTACCACTGAAATTGGTGTTTCCAACCAAATTAGACTTCTAAGATACCTAATTTTGACCTTGTTGGTTGACTTCTAATGTAGATTATTAAGAAGGATTTATATATATATATATATATATATATATATATATATATATAGTTAATGCATTAATTGCTATAAAACAGAACATATCTCCTCTTTTATTATCTTTATGAGGGAAAAGTGGTTCCACTTTTATTAGCCCATAGGGAATATCACAACTTACATAAAGTAGAAAAGACTGAATTCCTCTTCTTATTTCTTTTTTGGGAGACACACAGGCTAACTTTAAGTAACAACTGACCCAAGACTGAGTTAATCCAGGATCTTGTGGCTCTTAGTTTCTGTGATCCTGGGTTGGAATCTGTTACCAGGCTCTGAAACCAGATGTGTGTTTCACTTCCTGCTCTAACATTTGCTGGCGTTGAGGTTATGAGCAACTTACTTCATCTTTACCCGCCCCCAACCCCATTTATTTTAATCGCTTTATAAAGTGGAATAATAGTAGCATGTGGTATCTTGGAGACTAGTTAGCCTCCAAATACCTAATTCCTCATACCTGGGGATTCAGGAATAAAACTGAAAATAACAGCCAGATGTAGGATATCAGAATAAGTTGTAACAGCTGACATTTTTGTTCAAAATAGTTTCTTCTTCCTCCTCCTCCTCCTCTCCTCCTCCTTCTCCTCCTTCTCCTCCTTCTCCTCCTTCTCCTCCTTCTCCTCCTTCTCCTCCTCCTCCTCCTCCTTCTCCTCCTTCTCCTCCTTCTCCTCCTCCTCCTCCTCCTTCTCCTCCTTCTCCTCCTCCTTCTCCTTCTTCTCCTTCTTCTCTTTCTTCTCCTCCTTCTCCTCCTTCTCCCTCTCCTTCTTCTCTTCCTTCTCCTCCTTCTCCTTCTTCTCCTCCTCCTCCTCCTCCAAAATCATTGTATGTTTTCCCCTCTATTTAGCATGGTTTTGAATGCATACTGGGGAAGGACTCAATAATTTGGTTACCATTATTACAGTATTTAAGCTAATGATAGAGGCAGAAGCCTAGATACCTGCTAGAGTAGGAGGTGGATAGCTGAAGGACAGAGGATGAGGGAATTGGAAGAAGATGTTCAGAATACACAGGATCACAAACAGGTTTTTAATGTATCTTGCTGGCTCTGGCCTTCAGAGGATGGCAAATAAAGTTTAAAATATAGTTATCTATTTATCTTTATAAGAATATTAGTTTTAAACAGGCAGATCACAGATAATAAGAAAAGTAGACAGATGAAAAGAAATGAGGATAATTTTGGTTTTTAAAGAGACTACTAATTTTAATGAAAAGGGCTCTTCATACCTAGTGCACAGTTTGTGAGGTTTTGTTTATTTTGTTTTATTTTATCAGAGGGACAAAGGTGTGGAGATTTAGATATTTGAAGGCTGAATTATTATCTTCACATAACCCATTAATTGCTTTAAATGTCAGCAAATATACTTTTGGGGACAAATAGTAAAATTGCCATTGTTATTATTTGAGGCTTAGTTGTTTTCTTTAGGGATAATACTTCAAATATCACCTTCCATTTTAAAGATAAGAAATCTTAGATTGGTCATAAAAGGGTAAATAAAAGATAAATGTACATATGGAATCATACCAGGGGAATTTTGAAACTATAACCTATGTGTGGGCAAGCTCCCCCTGGTACACACACACCATTATCTGCTGTCTGTGTGCTGGCTCCCATTGTCCACTAGAGCTACTGGCCTTTTTAATTTGCATCCACTTTCACAAGATAAATGGTAAGGAGAGTTGGAATAAATTAAATTCTAATTACTCTACTTGCTAAATTATAGAGAGCTTTGAGGAAAACAATACAAAAGATTTTTAAAAAAGAAAAGAAACCTCTMATTCATATTCCAAATGAAGTGTAAGAATTTTCCATAATGTTCATTCACTCTCTTTTCTCTTCCCTCTCTCACCTAGCATTATGAAAAGCTAACTAAGTTAATACTTTAATTTTAACACAAATCTACAAGCTTAGAGTTGTTAGGTTTATTTATCTTGTTTTATGGTAAGAGTTCCTTTCCTGTAGCAATATTTCCATTCTCTGCAATTTTCAGATCCTAGCCACATTATAAACCTGTTTCTTAATAAACTCCCTGTTAGCTAAATGTTGCGTGTTATTGTTGTTGTTGTTTTTACTTAACCTAAGGTGAAAATATTGGAACTAAAATATTTTAAAACATGATAAAAACTTGRAATTTATCTATTACTTCTAAATGTTAACATTGTCCCCAGCTATCATTGTTTGTTCCCTTAAGAGATTAAGGATACTGCTGTATCTTATGTGATAAAAACCATCTTTATCTTGTCATGTTACTTATAGTGACATTGTTCTAAAGATGACCAACCTTATTATAATAATCTTTTGAAGATGTTGCCCAGATAAGTGCATCATATGATCACTCCCTTTTGAGATTGTGGCTTTTTGTACTTTTGATGAAGAGGCATGTGTTAATGAATGACCTTTAACTTATCTGTAAATGTCAAATGCCATCTTTCAAAATATAAGTCCTCTGATTACACTTATCTTCAGGGTCCCAAATGTTTTAACCTTCTGTTTTGGACAGTATCTGAGTCATAAAAAAACATTTTGAATGTCAAAATTAGGATTATATGATACCTAAAAACATGAAAAATATGAATGTAGGATAATATAGATTTATATTATTGACCTAGACTGTAGTTCTTCTACAAACCTAAACTTTCAGTAATGTATTCTTATTCCTTCAACTTGATTCAGCTATTTAGGTACTTAGGATGTTCCAAACACTATGGGGAATACAAAGATGAATGAAGCATATTCTAGTGAGGACAAAACAGGTATGTGATTAAGTGAAGTGGTAAGGCAAATGGGAAGTATCCATAAAAGGAAACATGAAATTCAGAAAGGCAGCATAGAAAGAGAAATAAATTCAAGAGGGTCACTGGCTATGGACATTTAAAGACTGGAGGTTTTTTTTTTTTTTTTTTTTGGTAGGCATGACAGGAAGGAATACACAGAGGTGGAAAAATACGTGTAGTGATATGAGGTGGATTTATGTGGAGCGTAGGGCATACAGAGAAGAGGCAGGTGATACAAAACTATGGCTATGTAGTTTGAATCATGTGGAGGTCTTGAATTCTACATGAAGTCATCTTAATTCTGTAGGCAGGAAAGAGCTTTTAAAGTTGTTTTGGCAGAAGAATGATAGAATCAGTATTATGAATGCCAAGCATTTAAGTCATTAGTATTTCCAGTGGAATTTTGGTATATTTGGGACAGTACACTAAGAAGGCAGACAAAAGATATTTCCTTAGCTGAGGCAATGACGTTTCCTTGTGATACCATTACTGCGCAGATTTGATAAATGATTGTTTGTTTATTTACTATTAGCAAACAGTTTTTCAGAATTCTAAAGCACATAAAATATTTATGTTTAACTCCAGGAACTTGTGATGTACTACACCTCCCTCAGGTAGTGGTAGCTATGCCTGATTTAATGAGATGAATGAGGTAGGTTCATGGATTTCAGAATGATGTAGTGCTACATTTTGCTCTCCAACCACTATCAAAAAATGTGTGTGATCACTTTAGATGAATGGAATTATGAACTTCACTTTACTACTATACATTCAGACCTTTATGTAATCTCGGTTTATTGATTAGGAGGAATTTGGTGCATATTTTAGAAGGAATTTATAGGAAGATGAGCCATTAAACAAATTACATAGATTTTCCAAGAGTGTTTCGGTAATTCAGTGATCTTCTAGCTGCACCAGAGGAAAGCCATTTCATTGGTTAGTTCTTCTATTAATAAGGTCAGTTAAGCCAATCTAGTCAGTGTTCATTTAATYCCTACTCTGTGTAAAGCACCTAAGGAAATGTGCTGTAAAATAAATTTAAGAGTCTTTTTTCAGTGTAGTGTGAATTCTTGGCCATAAAACATAAATATATAAAGAATAAGCAAAATATCATTAGATGCCCAGCACTAAATGAATGTTTCAGAAAAAGCACTGTGACATTTCAGAGTCAAGARAAATTTTTTAGTCACTGTATATCAATAACAGTATCTTTAAAGTAATTAAATGAATGTGCTATTTGCACTTTAAAGTATATTAACTGATTATTTCACAAAATTAATTTCCTCAATTTATTGCCTTCACAAAGAAAGAGTTACTTCATTAACTGTACTTTGTGGTTCTGTCATTGATACACTTCACTGCCTGTTTGAGTTCTCTTTATGAAATTTAATGGGAATACATAAAAATATTTTGCAAGCTCTGATTAATACATTTATTCTGTCATTTACATAATGCACACAATGAAAGCATTTTTAATATCAATAGATGATTGAATGCATTAGATTTTGTTTCAGGTATGTTCTCAGTGTTTTGATTATAAAATRATGACTGGTTTATTGTTAAATTAGCTCTAATATCACAAACTATCATTTTCCTATGTCCTTTTTATTTGATTGTGACTGAAATTTTATTATGTATATACATGTTAGATACTTTGTTCTGAAAGTACAGATTATTGCATGTACAATCCACATTTAATTTTCCAGGATTCATTTTAAATGTATTTGTGACAGAAGCAAAGAGATTTGATTGTAGAAATCTTAGCATTATATTTACTCTGGAAGCTTGCAAAGAGCTCCAATTAAGAATGACTTCAAAAGCCCATTATTATAGTGCATATTTGTGATTTGATATATGTATTTATCAGTTAAAAGGCATTTTTATGGTAAAGGATCTCATTGAACTATGTAATGATTAATATCTGTTAGAAAATTTCTTCTATTAAACTTCAGAAAACTTTGCCATGTTCTGTTATTTGGCATATAGTCAAAACATTCATGATAAAATCACATTATTTAAATTGATATATTTTGTCATGCTATCAGTATAGTATATACTGATATATCTAATGAGGGAGATTTCAAAAAACAGAAATAGGAACTAAAGACTAGGGCCTGGTTTTTAGAGTGAAAAACTTTAATGCTATAACGTTAGATTTTATAGTTTTTGAAGTGCAAACACTGATTAATTTAAAATGTGTTCATTTAACTTGTTTTCTTTCTTATTTTTAGTTGATAAGTAAGGGTATGGATTTTTCAGTTTTGAATTTTAAAGCTTCAACACTATTTTAGAAGTATGACAGAGGAAAAAGTTAAGTCTAGATCCTCGATTGAATTACCTTTAACTGTTCAAGTTATATTATATCCTTTTTGCCYCACCATTAGTCTGCCTTTTTTATATGAAGTAATAAGAGTTTACAAAAGAGATACATGATAAAAATCTAGTTATTACTTTCAAATCTTAAAATATATTTAATCTTTTCTTGTGATAATGTCTTTGCCAAATTATTTTTTCCTGTAAAAGGCAACTTAAAAGTTGCCCTGATTTCAAGTTGTCAGAGTAACAAAGAGCAGTTGTTCTGACACTTCCTGTAATGTGTACAGGAGAAACCTGGAAATCAGAATTTTCTAACTGGAGTAATGACTTCCTGGCTCTCCATGGAAGCCATGAGCAAGTTAACAATAGTGGCTTGTACTCACAAACTGAAAATCACATAATAGTCCCTCTCAATTATGCTTAAGAGTCATATTTTTTTCTTTTTTTCTCTCTCTCTTTAAATCTAACCTGCTACTGCCTTGGGTAGTGGTAAAACATCACTGTGATGCTACTGATTACACTATTAGTATATCTAAATACACTATTATATTTCATAAGTTTAAAAAAATTGGACATGATATAAATCTTCCTAAATTCTAAGATATACTCTTGTTTTAAATTCCTTCAGTAGTTGAAACCATCTGATTTTTTTTCAGGTCTTTTCCAATGGTCACCTTGGAAGTGAAGAATATGATGTTCCACCTCGGCTTTCTCCTCCTCCTCCAGTTACTACCCTTCTCCCTAGCATAAAGTGAGTTTTATTTAATTTGGAGATCATTTGTCCATACATATAAAGACAGGATAATTGTGGTTTTGAGGTTCTCAATGCAGAAATGACACAAMAAATAGGAATCAATAATGGAAAAAATAATCCAGTTACAGTTATAAACTCAAGTACCAGAAATCAAGATTCTTCCCATTTCTAAGCTGGCAACTGAGTCTCATCTTCTAAAGGTTTATCTAATCTCTTGAGATTGTGCATAGGAAAATGGGGCCAGAAAGCTAAGTATATCCTGTATTCAAGAAGAGGGTAGGGCAGTATAGGGAGCTGTCTTTCAGTTTCTCTCTCTTCCTCAGAGGCATCACATTTTATCCCTATTCTACAGTTTGACATCAGAAAATAGTCTCCATTTCCTCCAAGTTCCCTGTTTCTCAAATCCATTAATTCCCTAAGTCCTGCTGATTATTCTTTTGGAGTTTTTTGTATTCAACTAATCTTCCTATTCCTGCCTTTGTCTGGCTGGACTCTGAAAGAGCCTTCTATCTGATCATCTCATGTGGTCACAGAATTAGCATCAGTGGATTTAAAGCTAGAAAATGAGTTAATCTGGGTGTCTCATTTGAAACGGAGATATGGAGGTACACTTAACACTTGAGTGATTTGAGTGATATGACCCCAGGTTAAAGTCAAGCATCTAGCTCTCTTTCTCCTGCTCTGTTCACTGTAGCTAATGTCATTTAATTCTGCTTACAGCAGATCTCTTTCCCACTTCAGAACTACCACTGCTTCTCCCTCATTTCTCTCAAGCTATCCATATATTCTTTTGATATGTAAGATGCAACAGAATTTTATCCAACTAAAAACTTTTCCAGCAATTCCTAACATTTGCCCTGTAATTATGTCTGTATGATTTTTTTTCTGGTTTCATGAGTTTTCTATTTGTTCCCTCTTATTCTCTATCTTTTTAGAAACTTCATCCTTAATGTCCTTGTCTCAAGCTCTATTTCTTGATGAAAACTTCTGTGACTACTTCTGTTTAATAATTAATACTGATTTGTACTCTTTTGTTTAGTTCTGTACATTTCATCATATGTTCTGCTATTTTGTTTTCTAATTTTAAAAAGATAATAAAGTTTTAAAGTCCAAACCCTTGTCTGTATTCTCCAATTCTTCCCTGGAGAATTCTCAATTGTTGATTGATTGATATTAATTTTGTCTTCTGAAGCCCTCATTTCTAATTGAAAATCTTAGCTTCTTAGCTCCTTACTCTGTAGTCACTGAACTCCCACTACATATAGGAAAAGAAGGATAAGCTAAATCTCAGCCCCCAAGAAATTTACATTCTACTTTAGAAAATAAAATTAAGTATATGAAATCACTAGAGAAAATTTGTCACTAAATGAAGTAATACAACTTGTTAGTTTCAGACATTTTGAAGGAGAATCTCTTATAGGCTGTGTAAGTCAAAGATGTTTCCTAGAGGGTACAGTCACGTCCAGAGTCATGAGGAATGACACGATTAGATAAGGTAGTGTATGAGGGAAAACATGAGTGTAAACTTGAGAGCGTTCAGGGGACAGTGGGACACAACTAAATGGATCATTTTTCAGTGGAGACTTTCCTTGGAGGTGCCACGTATTCATCAGACATGGTAGCAGAAACAATTACACATGTTATGTGCAGGGAACTGAAAAATYAGTGCATACATGTGATGGTATTCTAGTCCCAAATGAAATCTATGTATATTTTATATAATAAAACATCTAAACTTAGTTCTCTTTGTTAATTCAAACAACTTCAGAAAATGAGAGAAATGAAATCTTCAATTAGACTTTCACATTGCTTATTAAATTCATATGGCCAAGTGTAATAACAGGTAGAGGTTGTAGTTTGCTTCATTAGTACTTAATATTGTACCTGCTTTTCCTGTAAGTAAATCAAAAGTAGCAAAATCAGAGTATACTATATTTTACTGATATTTTTCTAATACTTTAGTTTGTCAGATCAGCCATCTCATTATGCTTTCTTCCCATTTACTCTTGATGTTTTCTTCAAAAACAATTCAATTGTTTTACCTAGAGAAATATTTTAATAATGCATATTTAACAGCACATTAGTTTTCTATTTTGCATGCTGCAAATTAGCCATATTAGTAATAAGTGTGTTAGATTTTAATGGCACACTTATTTTTTCATCTTCTTTTTGTTTTTGATTCCATAGGTGGCAGTTGTTCATTATAGGAAGTATGTAAATTATATGAAAGAAACAACACATATGTATACCATATATATCAATGTCCAGAGTTATCATTTGGACAATTTTAAATTTAGACATTTTTAACACCAGTTAGATAGTATTGTAGAGATAATTTCATGCCCTTCTTTGCCACAAACATTAGTATAATTATAAGCATTTTTCTTAATTGTTTATGCACTATTTATTATGAAACCAGCATGGAATTCTGAAGTGAATAGTAGAATAAAATCAGACTGGTTTGTGGACTTTGCTTTAGTATGAAGTATTTGTCTTTGTGTGAAGAAGGTAAATTTCTCTGGACCTTACTTTCTCCATCTGATTAATCAGAGGATCAGTTTATCTTAAATAATCTCTCAAATCCTTTTAAGGGGCCACCTCTTAGGTTCTACACAATATATTTTTTAAAGTTTATTTATGGTGCTAATTATATAGAAATTTTAGAACATGAATGTTCATTTATACTTGGWTGATCACAACCCTTTCCTGAAACCAGTATAAATTGTATTAATAACTACTGATAATATTATTATTAATATTATTATATCGTTGGATATGATCATTATCATCATTATTTGTCTGCTTTGGCTTCATTAGAGTCTACAGCCAGAGTACAATGATAATATACCCTTGGTTCTGGAGGGTCACAGAGAAAAAAAGTCTTAGCAAAATCTCATTTACTGAAATGGGGATGTTGGACATTCAAGTACCCATTGCTATGTTAATGTGTTTTTCAAACTCAGACTAAAGCAAAATCTTACAGTTATCCCACATGTTGACAATCTCAAGATTAAATTCCAGAATATCAAAGCTAGCATTTAGCTTTTAATCTATACTACCCTGTTTTATATTTATTGAAGTGTATTTGTTAAATAAACATATGAAGTTGTAAAAGTGGGCAGAAATTATAATTATTTTATAAGTATTCTTAATTTTTTGAAATAATGGTTTTTCATGATGGTTTCTACTTAATTAACATCATTGACAGAGCTATAAATATGAAGTTTAGGTAAATACTTTAAATATGGATAATATTTATTTTTTAGAGGAGGAATAAAAATCTTATATGAATTATTTTTACTTTGCTTTTCATATTATGTATTTACTAACTTATGTTTATGTTGAAATATTTGATTATTTAAATTAAACTAAATGAAACTCTGGGCATTATTTATTGGCAGATTAACAGATATTATTAAAGTAATAGTAGAGTTTTTACTTCTAGATAAGATAATGTTCTAGAGTGCTAAGGAATATAATTTCTTTATAAGAATTATTTTTCTTGTATCTTGTCATTTAGAAGTGTGGACCTTTCAYATTCTGGAATGATTATCATAGGTTTTCAAATATCTATGAATCAGTATTATATTTGGCTTATGTTTTTTTTTTAAAAAAAGAGATGTTATTATTGATTATTGTTATGATTTTTTATAAACAGATAAGGTACTGATGTTTTAGGATCCATGAATACAGAATCCACATTTTGTGTCAATATTCCATTTTCATCTCATTGCTGTTCAGCAAGCAGTTGGAGATTCAGCAAGAACCAGATAAAATAAAATCCTCTTTGGAATTTATGGTCTCATTAAGGAGAACAGAAAGTAAACAAATAACTATATTGTATCTTGTCAGCTAGTGACTCTTAGGAGGAAAAATAAGCCCAGAAAGGTAAATAATGACAGAGTTCTTACTCTCAGTGAGGTCCTAAGAAAAAACCCTTCTGAAAAGGTAACATTTAAATAGAAACACCTAAAAAGCAAGGGAGCCAGCTGCCAGAGTATTCATGTCAGGTGTTGACACAGGACAGAACACAAGTTCAAAGTGACTTCAGATCTGTTTTTCTAGTTTCTAGTCAGTTAAATTGCTTATAATTAAAGCTTATCTGAAAGCTTAATTGTATATCACACTGACTTTTCTCAATATCATGAAAGAACCTTCAAACATAGCATATATATTTAACTCATTTTAATATTTTTGGGGAAATGATTTATATGTGGCAATCATGCAATAATCATTTCAGTTATTGCTGTCTTTTGTTTTCCCTCTTCTCTGGGTTATGATCTTTCTGAGTTAGGTATGTTCCTTGTTTGGTTTGAAATACTGTAGCACAAGAAATGTAGAATAATGTTTATGACAAGTTCTCAAGATTCTGTTTTAATTAAAAAATAATTTATTACTTTACTTTTAAATATTATTAAATGAAAAGAGATTTATATGTGTAGAAAACAAGCAAAACAGTATCACAATTTCTGAACTGCAAAATGTTTCTACAAATGATTGATCTTTTATTGCTTACTGGCTTGCTCATTTCTCTATTAGCCATTCATTATTTTTGTCTAAAAAGCTTGTAAGTGTTCAGGTACAAGCATACCATTCAAATCTTTAGTGGACCCAAAGGCCCTAAAATGTTTTGTAATTCAAGACAGAAATATAAGAGTAACATAGTTTAGTCTTTAGAAAACACAGCATCAATGAATAGTCATGTATTAAATACACATTGTGGAAAGATTAATTGAGGTTTAAAGAAATCATTGAATTTAAGGGTCAATGATTTCACATATACATAATAAAATGGATGTCTATGCTTATTTATTTTTCTGGGAAAGCTAAGGAGTAATTGAAGTGTCAGAAATTACTCAATTTAGGAAAGAAAACTACTTGGTAAGGGTAATGTTCAAGATATAAATTACAAGGATTAAAGCTGATAGAGAAGTTGACCCCTCAGATTATATGCTTCAACCCAGGAATATGAAAATGAGTATAAAATGCCCTGGAGGAATGCATTTGTGAGTCTTTAGTTTTGAAATGTAAAAGTTTCTGATTAAGTACAACATTATAAAATATCTCCTGAGCATTCATGTTTCTTGGTGTATTCCAATGTGCATATGTAGACAATGAACATGTTAAGAGAAGGCTTCAATAACTAATACGCAATGATGAATTCAATAAATGTACAGGTTGCAGGGAAGATGGTTTTGCATGTTTTAGAGAGTATGTCCCTATGCGTTTCCAGAATCTTAACTCAGGAATGAGAGCAACCATAACAGAACACAGGAGCAATGTATGACGATAATATAAAATTAGTGCAATAACAGATGTAAATGGCAGCATGCTTTAGTTGGTCCCTTTAAGTTGGAACCAGCCAAATTTGATTTGTCCTTAAAATTTTTCATTAACTAAATCAAAAACTGAAATTTTTCTATGTTCCATAAGCTAGAATTCTTTTATCCTGCCAAAGAAATATATATATGAGGAAATAGTGAATAATTATAAATCTAATTGTTTTACCAATTATTTATTTGCAAGAAAAATTGAGCCTACTTTTTTGAGTTATTGAAGGGGGAAAAAGTTCCACCTGCAATTACAAATAGGGTAGTTTTCTTAATTTCATTTTTTTATTTGGTGCTGAGAATCTAACCCAATGCCTCACACACATTAAGCAAGCACTGTAACACTGAGCCACAATCCTAGCCCACAAATAAAGTTTTTACATGGACTTTATGTTTGATATTTCAGAGAAACAAAGTTCTTTACACTTTTTACCTTTGTCTTCTATTTCCATTTGCAATAGAAACTGCTTTCATTTTTTCCTTTCAGAACRTTTTTTAAATATATTTTATACCTTTATTTTATTTTTTTGTGTGGTGTTGAGGATTGAACCCAGTGCCTCTCCCATGTGCTAGGCAAGCACTCTAACACTGAACCACAACCCCAGTTCCAGAACATTCTTTAAAAAAATTTAAAGTAATGAAAAAGTGTGCTGGATTGATATTCTAATTAATTGGCTTGTTTTTGATTCAAGCAGAGTATTATAGTTGTAGGATGATTTCATATTGAACAGAAAAATCTGAAACTTTAAAACTTTATTAAAATGGTAATAAATGAGAAAAAAACATTTTGTCATATTTAGGTACAAGTTCCACTTGACATGTTTTTTACATTTCTAAATATAATTCACCAAAATCCATATTTAAGTTATCAATCCATAACTGGGAAGTTTTACTAGTAAGTTGTTATTATTCAGTAGAATATTAGATGAGTTTTTTTTTCCAGAAATGCTTAATCAATTGATTTGCAGCACAAAAAAAGAGTAGATGAAATTTACATACACAGAATTCTTTGTCATTAAAGATAACATATAACATTAGCCAAAACAGGTGTTATTTTAAAAATTGTCCATTGACTCACAATGAAATGCTTCTTTGTAAGCTATTGAATCTTTGGAAGTAACSTACAGATATTAGAACATTACTGACATTGATGTGGTTGTTGAATAGTTGGTCAAAATATTTCCTTTTTCTTTGTGCAGTACATGCTTTTGTACCATAGGGAAAAAAATGATCCATTATGAATGAAAGTATGTGAGGACATGGAAAAGATTACATAGTACTCATTTCATTTTGTAATAGAACCTGTTCTGGTACCTGAGACAGCTAAATTGATGTCTGTGTGCACAAGTGCTTATGTAAAAGTAAAGTTTTAAAACCCTGCTCTAATGCCATTACTATTCTATARCCCACGTACCTACCTACCTTCAAGGTTTAACCTTGGAAGTAAATCATAGTCGGTGTAACCCTTAGCTGATTCTTGAGGTTCTTAGTATGTGCTCTGGGCTGTGACAGCAGACCTTCCAACACTGTAACACTGTACTTTCATCTCTCCAATTACTGTCATTTGAATTCTAACATAGCTCTAACAAACGAAAATGCAAATATCATATTGAAAAATTCTTCAAAGGGGTAAAAATAAACTTTTGAAAAATCTTAGGAAAGATTTTTCTTTGAACTTCATAGAGATTTAACTATATGGTTGAAACTTGAAACCTTTAGGTCTTTCAAAATATCTTCCTGTAATGGGCAGAAAGAACCACCCACTCCCCACCAAATTGTTTTTCTATTCTAACTACCACTAAAGAGAAAATCTGAAATTCTCCAATGTGCACAACTTTTTGTGCATATGTTAGGAATGTTCAGCTTCCAAAGTTTTTGCAAATATTTCAAAAAACTTTTTTTTAATTCTTAGAATACTTCTGTTTCTGGGCATTTCAGACAAGGGATAGTTAACCTAGGGGTAAGAGGAAATCAAAATGAAAAATCCATTTTAGGCTTGATAGTTTTGTATACCAAAGGCCTCTTGCTCCCTCTACAGAAGGTGCTACAAAATTGCGGTCTCTTRTTTGGGAATATTTTGGTTCATTCTTTCTTTAGCTTTCTTTCCCTCCTTCTTCTCCTTCCTCTCTTTCTTGGAAGAGATTTCATCATGATGTCCATGATGATCAACAAAAAAGTTTTGTATCCATATGTATTTCCATTGTCTTGCAATTGGCAAGGTTGGTTTTGTGCTTTTCTCCCTCAAGTATTTTTTCCATGGAACCAAAATGGGTTAAATTAAATTCCGTTAGCAACAATTATGAAAAATAATACTTTTTGTTTTTTGCATTTGTTTTATTTTGTTTACCCAAATGGATAAGTAAAATKCTTGAAATTTTAGTATTAGGTACTTATTTTAATGACTTTAATTCTCTTTTATTTAGCCCAGGAAATTAAGCTAATAATGTGTTTCAGAGCCATAACAAGTTCTCTTATCTGGTTCTAATTATCCCATTCATTTTCAGTTCTTAGTTGTTGGTGGTAGTTTAAATAAAACTAATAACTTGGATTATCACTTCACCTTGCAGTTTAGTTTCATTGAACTAAAGGATTTTCTTCAACTATAGGTAATATTCGCAAGAGACAAAAAGTTTGACTCTTCTGTGGAGACTACATTAATATATAAAAAAACTATGACATGCATATTTTTGTCATCTTAGTTTAATCATTTAAGTTAAACTAGGAAAAAATGTTAATATTTTAATAGCTTTGGTTTGAATATTGTGTGTGTTTTCTCTTCTAACTCCAAGATCTTTTCTTTTATTTGATAGATTATTGTTTTTTTCTCATGTGCCATTTAAAATTATTAAGTCTGAGAATTTTATAATCTTGTCAAGAAAGTCTTAACCAACTGTTGAAAGTCCTTTCCATTTGTATTTAGTATATGAACAACTCCCCTGATGTTACCCTGTAATTGAAAAATGAATGTAAGTGACCTAGTAGCTTCTTTGATTTGATATATCATATCAGACTCTCTTGTTTCAAACATGTATTGTGCTTAAACTAGGTTCATTTTTCCCCCCTTGGTAGGTGTACTGGTCCGTTAGCAAATTCTCTTACAGAGAAAACAAGAGAACTAGGAGAGGAAGATGACGATGAATACAAGATTCCTTCATCCCATCCTGTTCCCCCAAATTCACAACCATCTCATTGTCATAATGTAAAACCTTCCATTCGGTAAGCATATGGGAAGCTTTGCATCATCTAACTTCTGCATAAGCATTATCATTTGTGGGGTTTGTTTTTATATAGTTGAATCAGATATTTGGGGTTAAAAATTCCTGATTTCCTGCTCAAAGCTTCCTCTTTCTATATAGTATTTTTTGTATTGCTTTTAAGGAGAAAACTAAATGTAATGGAATGTTTTGTTGCCCTCTAAAAACTAATTAGATGTGGTTATATATTATATATAATGATTAATTCATGCATTTTGAATAAGCTGTTTTAATATATGTTATCAGTTCCAAGCACATATATCATAAAAAAAATTAGCGCTTAGAAACTAACTCTAAGGTGTTATACCAACCTTCCTTAGTATTTTTCTTCATGATGTGAAGACCAGTATGATTCATATTCGTTTCCCTTTACAACTACAACTTCTACTCACATCTTGTAGAAGTGAAAAAAAAACTAAAATTGTTTTACTTAACTGTTTTCATTTTTTAACCAAATTCTATTTTACCTTCCCTTTGATCAAATAAGAATATAAGCAATAGTGGTTTTGTTGTTTCTTCTTTCCATTGTTCATTATTCTTGCTATACTAGGAATATCCTAGGTGTTTGAAGTAGCAGTCACTTTGAGAATTATCAGTAATGGGTGCTGTGTATAGAAATATCATTTATCTAGAAGCATTATTTCACATGTATATAATTGAATCATTAAGCTATAACCTAGTAATATTTCTGTACTTTATATCTAACTGACACATATAAGATAATCAGTGATCCAATCTCATCTTCAAAATGACCTCTCTAAGCTCCARTTTCCCATGTGGACCATTTCTGAAACTGCTGGGCACACAGAATAGAGCTCAGATGCTGCTGGTATCTCCTGACTTGACAGGGTGGGAGAGCAGTTGGACACTAGCCCTCTGGGCCATCATCACTTAGTGTGTCATTTCCTTTGAGGTCAAGCCAATCCTCTGAAAGCATGTATGAGTGGAGTATTTCCTTCTTTTCAGATGGAAAGACTTAGCAGTGTTTTAATGCCTTTCTTCAAATATCTCACTGAAATAGATAATGAAATAAAAGGGTAAGAGAAGCAAATCTTCATTAACCAAAGTTCTGTCTTAAGTGATGCTGGTTAGAATTATCAGCACTCTGCAGAATTATTAACCAGGCTTAGTAACACTCTGCATTCCAGGGCTTCATTTTTCAAAGCAAGAATCAGTGTACTTCTTGCTAATTGCTAGTGTTTAAGACAGTTGTTGAAAAAAATAATAATCATTGAGAAGACAAAGAAATAGCTGGGAGGCGATTTGTTATATCAAAAGGACCAAGTGTCTGCTGATAGAGAAAAAAGTTATTCCTTCTCATCACATATAAATTGTCACAATTTTCAGTTCCTTTAGCTCTTACAAATGAGCAGTAATTTTTTAAAAACTGAAATAGGATAAACTTTTTTGTTCTTCTTGGGAGTCTTATTTTTTTTTTCATTGCTGGAGTAGTGAGGAGTATAATTTTAAGATGTTAARTTTTAATTGTCACATCATAGTGGATGATATTTTGGTGGCAGGCCTCCCAAATCATGAAAATAAATTTGAATTATAACCATCATTACCATCTTTCTTTTGTTGTAGAGAAGTAATAAATGCTGATAATTCCTAAACTTAATTGGAGTGAATTCTTTATCTAATTTCTTCTTGAAAGCTGATAGATGAAGCCTCTTCTTATGTCCTCTCCAAAGCACTCTTTAAACTTAACACTTCCTCTCCCTCTGTGTTTCCCACCTTTGGAACATCAGGAGAAGAAAATTGTCAATATGTGGAAAAAGTGAAACAGTAAATGAATAATTCAGTTCAGTTTCAGTAAAAATCCATCATTATTATGAAGATTCAATACATGATAACTATTTTTAAATGAACCATATCTGGCTCCTTAAAGAGAAGTGGCCACCAGAGAGAACAGAAATGAATTTCAGATGAAGCACTCTTGCAATATCTATTCAAATACCCACTATCTCCTCCATTATGTATGTACTTTTACTTTGCTCTAAGAATTCAGAGTAATTCAATGGAAAGTAAAATGTAAACTTTGCTTTCTGTAGCTCTTTGTTAGTAGATTGTTACACAGCTAGATGCTGAAGACAAAAGGCCCTCCTTCTCTATTCACTATTGTCTTCCCATGGCTCAGTTTTACCCATTGTGTTCTTAGTATGATTTCAAAAGTATCAATACCAACCACAGACAATCTTTTGTAGTGATTATTAACTTTTACGTACACTCAGATTAAAATTATTTGCTGTGTACTCAACACTTAAGTCATTTTTCCACAGCAACAGAGAGCCAGAGCTGTGTTCACAACAGTAGTGAAGTAGTATTAGGCTTTAGGTCTTTGAATATACATTTGGAATTTTAATGGAATTACTGCAAGTTTAATAATTGTCCTTCTTTTGTGGGCTGTATATACCAACATTGATGCTTTTTCCAGAAAAGACAATATATTTAGTTTCAAACTTTATATGAACAGGAGTACTAGTTCCCTCTWCCAGACCCCAGTGATTTTTAAAGGAACTCTGAAATCCTTATATAATTTTGTCCTCCTATCTCTGCTTTAGGTCTTGTGATAATGGCCATTGTATCCTGAATGGAACACATGGTACATCTTCAGAGGTGAAGAAATCAAACATCCCTGACTTAGGCATATATTTAAAGGGTATGTATAGAATACATTCTACTTTGCAATCTATACCTTAATAGTCAGAATTTAAAGGCAAAATTCCATTCCCTTACTGTACTGAAAATACATTAAGGTTTTGTGTTATCCTCTAGGAGATGTTTTTGAGTCAGCCTCTGATCCAGTGCCATTACCACCTGCCAGGCCTCCAACTCGGGACAATCCAAAGCATGGTTCTTCACTCAACAGGACGCCCTCTGATTATGATCTTCTCATCCCTCCATTAGGTTGAAACTTTAAAAACATTTTAAACGACCCCTCCCACCTTTTCTCCCCATCTCTGCATTATTAGAATTCAGAGTTGAACCTAATGCAGACTCATTGGGTTGTGAACTAGCCTGAAATTAGCCAGAATGGGTTCTCTAAGTGATGGTAGCTCCCAAGTTCATGTGACCATTACTTCATTCAGATGAGTAAAGTAATAGAATAGAAGATGGTTTTAAGTTAAATTGTGAAATTCCAGGTGATAACATTTAAATTTTTTTGTACGTGAATTTTCTATAATAATGCATCACTTTTGTAATCAGAGCAAAGCAATAAGTCTGGATTTTTTCAGAACTAGATCCTACTATGTAGTTCTTTTAAAACTTAAAAAAAAAAAAGGAAAGAGATGATATAAGAGCTGGCCATGAACAGTGTTTTATCTCGAGGTCTTTTTCCTAAATACAGGCTAAAAACAAAAGAGCATTATTTGCCCTTTATGTCCTTGTGTTCTAGTACTTTTAAGTGATGATTTGAAATGTTGATATTTTCTTCAAGTGTACTTATCTTTATTTTAGTATGAAATGATCAGTCCCACTTACACTAATAAAATTATGGAAAATTATGTATTTGTAGAAAACTAAGAATAAATCTGTTTTATTCTAACTATTACAACTACAACATAAGGAATTTTAATTTCTTTRTGTCAAATTATAAGGAAACACACTAGAGTGTATCTGTGTGAATATAGGTGGAGGTGCACCAAGGTGTGTGTGTATGTTGAAATTAGCAGTAATTTCTTTAATTAGAGGAAGATTTTTCACCCTAATTTTAGAGGATGACATTACAGATTCAAAATAACAAGTTTCACCATAACATAAAAAATAATAAGATTCTCTGAAATGACTGTTAGGCCACCAGAAATATGAAAGGAACCTTCTCTTTTCTCTGGAATGTCATTAAACAGTGTTTTCAAACAGTGGAAATGTCTTTTATTCCTGTTCCCTCTGTAGTTCAGGGCTTCATTCTCACCCATAGTCATTACTAGAGCCTCCTAACTTTTTTATCTTTTTTTTTTCTTCCTTCTACTTCTTCCTCTACACTGTTTTTGACACTTGACCCCAGTCTTCATGACCTAGATCAGCACTGTCCAGTAGAACTTTCTGTGGAGATTTAAGGGGTCTATATATGAGCATRTTTGAGAGATTGTGTAACTGAATTTTGTTAATTTAAAATTAAATAGCCATATGAGGACAATTACTGCCTTATTAGAGAACGCAGGTGCTGCGACCTGTCTTTTGACCTCAGCCTCCCTCTAGTTTTGTTGGGATTTTCATTCTTTGTTCCTATTATTCACTCTGCTTAGAAGACCCCATCTTTGAATTTCATGAATAAATGTTTTTGAGCCCTCTGATATTGCATGTTTCCTGTTCTTCAGCACTTCACTGAGTGCCACTAGTCTACATTTTTCTCTCCTTTCTTCTAGTACATGTATCTCTCTTACGGGACAAACCATTTTTACCTGTGAATCATTTTGAACATTTTTTACCTCCTTTTGTGGAATCTAAACTCCTTGAGACAAGAGGCTTATACTTTTGATCTTCATATCACTCAGTTTGCCTAGTRTGGTATGTTGTATTTAGTAGTTGAAAAAGAATTTGAATATGACGGTGTCACTGCTAAAGATTGCAGTAACAATGCTGTGTCTCCCATACCTTTAAATAAATTTATTTATTTGGTACTAGGGATTGAGCCCAGGTGCGATTAACCACTAAGCCACATTTCTAGTCCTTTYTATTTCTTTATTTTGCTTAAGGCCTCATTCAGTTGCTGAGGCTGGCTTTGAACTTGTGATTCTTCTGCCTCAGCCTCCCAAGTTGCTGGCATGTGCCACTGTGCCCATTTTTGATGATCTAAGAAAATATTCTGAATAATTTTTCAAGGCAGACTCAGTGAATGGTAAAACTTTTAAAAAAATATGTCTTTATGTTTAAGTCATTCAACATAAATACCTATGAATTTTATTATTGGAAGCTGTATGTATATATATGTACCCTATCTTAGAAAGTATTTGAGGTAGCTTTAGAAACACTGTATAGTACAATTCAATTTTCTTGAAGATTCAAAATAAGGGGAAATATAAGTAGAGTAGTAAGGTGTGATAGGGAAAAATAAGTAGAAATAAAACCACATTGTAATATTCTATACTTCTTAAAACTGACAGCTTAAAAAGATGTAAGTAATCCTTCAGACCTTAAAAGGGAGACCCATATTTAACTGTTYTTTAGAGATAGCAGTTAAATTAAAAATATTACGATTCTCTCTTCTAGCTGCATTTTCTGTATATTAYAGCAGTTAATCAAATATTTGGAATATTAGTTGAAATTAGTTATCCATTGGAACAAATTTTATGAAATAATCTAAACTGTGGCATTAAATTTTATGTGCATGGTAWGATTTTCTAATTAAAGGTTGTAAATTGTTTTTGTTGCATAGAATTGTTTTGATGGTGTGATTGATAATAATTTTTAGTTCCAAGTTCCACTTTCCTAACACTACAAAGCTTACAAAATAATCATGAGCTGCTTTATAACCTACAGTATTGCTTGTAATAGAAAGACCTGGGAGGTTGGAAAAGTTTGCATGGGTGTATTTGAATGTGTGTATCTGTTTCCAAACACTCCCACAAAATAATTAGATCCCATTATCAAAGTCGGTGAACTGCTGGATAAACCTTGCAAGTGAAGTTCTTTATAAACAGCAAGAGAAAATCAATCTTTGCTTTTGCTTGACACTGTGTTTTGATTAATGAAGTTCTGCTGTTGATATTGACCTTTCTTCAAATGCAGGTGAAGATGCTTTTGATGCCCTACCCCCATCCCTCCCACCTCCTCCACCTCCTGCGAGGCATAGTCTCATTGAGCATTCAAAACCTCCTGGCTCCAGTAGCCGGCCATCCTCAGGACAGGACCTTTTTCTTCTTCCTTCAGGTAAGAGGGAAAAAAGCCAAAGGAAACTTCTCACTTAAAGCAAAAATATTTCTAAGATCATACTATCAAATACATATTGTGTTATTGATTCCTAAGTGTCTACTACCCAAGCAGAAAAACTCCTTGGTGGTAAAAGTAGCAATGGAATGGTTTTATCGGTTGATTCAATGCCAAAAAAAGTACAAAGATGGGAAGAACAACAAGGTATCATAGAATTTAGAAATAGTGCTATAGAGTTTATCCAATACAAATAATACCTTTATTTATTTGGGGGTTACAAAASACATGGCATGGTGGCATATGCCTGTATTTCCAGCAACTTGGAATGCTGAGGCAAGAGCATTGCAAGTTTGAGACCAGCCTCCACAACTTTTTGAGACCCTGTCTCAAAATAAAAAAAATAAAAAGAACTGGGGAGAAAATTCAGGAGTAAAGTACCCTTGGGTTCAATCCCCAGTACCAAACAAAAAACAACAACAACAACAAAAAAATTAGAATGACTTAGTGATTCAGCTCATGTTCAGGGGCTGAAAATAAGTTCTGCCTATTCCCAGCATAATGCTTTTTCCCCCTTAGGAGTTTTAAAATTTTACAAGATATTCCTTAATGTGATGATTTTATTCAAAACRTAAGAATTAGATAGATCATGGAAAGTTTTTAAAAAGTTCTCAGTTTATTCTTTGGTTACTCTTGCATACCTCAATTGGAAAGTGGTTTATTTTTCCAGAATAATTCTGTTTAATTTTTYATTAGTAAATATTGAGTCATTCATTGTGATARATGCCTCCTGTCCTCGTGGAGCTTATAGATTCAGTGGATGCTCCTAAAAAGCAAGTGTTCTAACCACTCKGGTCCAAGCAGAAAATATGGATGACTGGTTAGTCATTTACTCCTGTAGTTAAGTAAAACACTGAAACATGTTGCTGCTTTTTTTCACTTACACTTATTCAAATCTTTTTATTTTAATATATGAACTTTATAATTATTTTTTAAATTGTCATTCTAAATGTTAGTTAAGCATTCATGTAACTAAGTTAATTCTACATAATCTGGCTAGGTTCCTACAACATACCAATCACCTTTTCTGGATGTGACTTAAGCCCCAGTGGATGAAGTTCAATGTGGTTTCTTTTAATGTAAAGCTTTCCAGAAACTAGAAAAGAACATTTTACATTATTTAGTAAAATGTACTTTTTCCTGTATCAGAAGAATTAATTGTTAAATATTTTAATTCTTTGTTCTAATTACAATGTTCATTGTCATTTATATAAAATCTTCATAAATCACATTTCAAGATTAATCACTAAAATAAATTAGTACTTCAGCCAGGYATGGTGACAACTTGGGAGGCTAAAGGAAGAAGATTACAAGTTCAAAGCCAGCTTTAGCAGCTTAGCGAGGCCCTWGGCAATTTAGCAAGTCCCTGCCTCAAAATAAAAAGGACTGGGGATGTGGCTCAGTGGTTAAGTGCCCCTGGATTCAATCCCTGGTACCAAAGTATTATTTAAAAATAAATAAATAAATAAATACACAAAATACTTCAAATTGAAAATATCACCTGTATTTAATAAAATGAAAGTTACATAAATCATTTGTATATGTGCCTGTTTTACTTTTACTCGGCTGCCTGAGAGCTCAGCAGCAGCTGTGCCTAACACAGCGTGAGGCTCACATGGGGATAAGGTGATGGTATCACTTGAGCCTTTCAATATTCTTATCCCCATCTTATATGGAAGTATTCTGAATCTATTCCCAAGAATACTAACATATCCTGATAKTCATAATTCTCAGAAAAATATTGAAACTTCTTTTCCTTTTTCAACCTTTTATATCATTAACATGACAGATTTTTAGTCTGTACTATATCTTGCATGAACTCCACGGTGATGGTTATTTTTATTCAATATAAAGCCAATTCTCCTTTTCCAAGGGGATTTTTATTATTTTACACAGAATCACAGAACATAAATGTTTCTTTTGGCTAATAAACATTTGAGTGTTTTTCAAAATATTTAAGGAATTGTACTAACAAAAAAATATAGTGGGAGAGTCTTAACARCAGATCCACACCTAAGAATTGAGCATAGTGAAAAAATACTCTGTGGAACTAAAGCTCAAGTCTGTAGTTTTAGAATCATAAAAGGTCAACAAAGGTGTTATTGCCAATCTTTAACCCTAGGTAAATTTTACTGCTGTCATTTTCACTGCTCAATCTATGTAGTCATGGTTCAGTATAAAGATAAATGGTTTTTAAGAATTATTGAGATTTGGTTTCCTTGAGAAAATAGTTTTCCCTAATTAAAGGCATGGGATGGTTGCCTTAGAAAAAGAGGTTGGATTTTCTTGTGATACATTAAACTCCTAATCGAGCTCACTTCCTTGTTCAGCATGCCCTGCACAGTGGACTTGAGTCCAGCTTTCCAGCCTTATCTAGAGTTTGCAATTCTGATTCCAGTTGTTTCTCCATTGGCACCTCATGACTCCCTCAGGATCAGGGAGGGGAAGCCACGCAGGGGAGTGACTCTGGTTCTTCTTTTATCTGTTTCCTATTTTAGACATACAAGATTTMTTTTGGCAAAGTAGTAATGCCCCCCTGCTGTATATGAGCCATCTATTCTAGACAGGCCAGTCATACCTTAACAAAGCCTAGAGTCTTCAACAAAAGCCTCACAATGTTCTGTATCCAAACCCCAGGCTCCTTCTAGAATGTATGTACTTTCTTCTGTATGATTGAAAAGTATTCCTTTGTGCTGGTGGGTTGTAATAGGTGCCCCTCCTGCCACTTTATGCCAGAGCCCTGTGCTTGAGGAGTAAGACAAGGCCAGTTGTTAAGTCTTGCACATACCCTTTACCCCGTGTTTGTACAGTGTGTAAAGTATACAATATATTCAGAAGGCCTTACACCCCTCTCTTTTACTTTCTCCTCTGGAATATTTTTGGAAGTCCTTTATTTAGTCTTTTTTAAGTCACAATTTAACTCTAAAAGCAAGCAAAATTGATTTTATTGAAGGTTTTGTTTTTCTATTTGGACTCAAATGTAGTTACATAGGTAAAATACAAAAAACAATTGGATTGTTAGCAATAGTTACTGAAAGGATCTGGGGGTATTGTTAACTGTAACTTTTATGAAGCACTATTATAAGTAGCTGCCCAGGGAAACTCATGGCATTTGGGGTTTGCACTGACAGAATTCAAGTCAGAGGAGCAGATCTTCATGGCATTCACCCTATGTGGAGACCACTGCATTCAGATGTTGACAGATTAAAGGAATAGAAGGGCGAAATCTCAGACCATGGTTTCCAGATCAGCAGCATCTGCATCTCCTGGGAAATTGCTTTAAAATGAAAATTTAGGGCTTTTACTAAATCAGAAACTCTGGGAGTAATACCCAGCGATATGTATTTTCACAAGCCCTTTGGCATTTTCTGGTGCAGGCTCATGTTTTAGAAACACTGTGCTAGAGAATTTCCAAAGAACTGCCATCAGGACCACAAAGGAAATTCATACCACCCCTGGAAACTATAGTGCCTTGAAGGATCTAAGGCTGTTTAACCCAGACCTTGAGTATATATTAGAATTGTCTGCAATTACAGTTGTTAAAGAAGGATTATATTTCTTTCATTTCACTTCACAAGTAAGAAGTGTTGACAATGAAATTTTCATTCATCATAAGAAGTCGTCTTCTAAATTATCCAGAATTATGATAGCTCAGGGGCTGTGGTTTCACAAATAATAGAGGATTTCAGTGGCCAGATCACTACATTTTGGAGATTTTGTGAACATGAGATGAAGAGTGAGGGCAGCAAGAGGAAGAACTTTGTTTTAACTAAATGGTTCATGAGGTTCCTCCCAATAATTAGATTCTACATTGGTTATATTCTTTCAAAATTTGGGAGTTAACTGATAAATCTTCCAGATTATGGACAGGCACAAAGGGAATGTTCTGTTGTTTTAACTGTTCAGTTTTTGGTTCTTTTTCTACTCTTCAGTAAATATTTGGAAGTGTTTCAGATAGGAAAAAAAAAAGTTTCATCTTGTATTCTCTCAAAGAATCATTGATAGGTTTTCTTCCATTTTTTTTTTTTTTGGCCCATGCATGTGTAAGTTCATATTTATATCAAATTTATTTCATTGTATATTCTACTTAYAAACTTCTTAATGTTATGAGCATCATTAATGTTGTTAAATATTCTTACACAACATAATTTTTATTCATGCACACTCTTTCCTTAGTTACCAAACTTTTTCTCCCATTTTTTCTTTAGTTTTTTATAATCTCCAAATAAAAAGTTTTCAATTTTGTATTGCCATGCTATAAAAATCACAAACAGAAGAACTTTACTTTTTACAATAGATTGATAAATGAATACATACAATGAGAATCAAACACATTATCATATAAACAATACATTGGCTATGGTACTTTTAATTTGTATGTTTTAATCCTAAATTTGAAATATTAGACATGACTTTAGTTACTTTTTGAAGAATTTGTTTTGGAAAAGCTTTATTGCTTTTCACAATGTCCTTATCTCAGAGCACAGCTAGTAGCTGTTAGACRGTGTAGTGATTGTGGTGTATATAGTGTCCTTCCACTTGAAGCCTGAATGCTTCCAGCTTTGTAACTTCCCAACCGGAGCCCTATTTACCCCRTACCTAACCAACAGCAAGCTTGGTGTGAAGCAAGACAGAACAGAGTGGTGATTCAGAACTGAATCATAAGTATTTTTGCTATTTTTGGTAACTYTTTTTGCATCTAGTTCCATTTTAAGTAAAATTAATAGAGCAGCATAGTATAGCTATGTTTTAATCATCTATTTGTGGTGCTGAATTATATCCAGATTTTACTTACTAGTCTCAGATAACTAGAAATAACATAAGTCCATCATATGTAACATAAAATTGTATCAGATAAAATTATAAACTACCCGTAAGGAAATAAGCAGTTGTATGTACTGTAAAATATAATCTTTCTTCTGACTTATGTTTTATCAGCAGCATTCAGAGTGTACAAGAACTTAAAGTACATTTTATTGACTATTTAAATCTAAATATTTGGGATATTTCCAAATTTATTCAGAAACCCCATGTTTGGGTTTCTATAACAACCAGAATATCAACATTTATCACATGGATTTCAGTTCATCTTCTCATTCCTTCCTAAAATGTTTTGGCAGAATTAGTGAGGCTGAACCACTGACTCAATATTGAAAGCTCAAAATCTGGAAATTATTTTAATCTTGAAATCAATGAAAGCAAGCAAAGTAACCTTCTTAAAGTCAAAAAGTTCCCAGCAAAGCCAGTGATAATTTTTTTATCCCAAAAAGGGTTTTAATAAATTAATGGCTTTGAATCCTGACTTACATTGTCTAGTCACAACTTACTATACAGATAGCTGATCTAAGCATGTATTTTCTTTTTGAATAGTCATATTTCTATATATTATTAATGTCAAACTCAAAGTTAACAAAATAAAACTTACTCTTAATATTTACAATTTTGTTTTATGTTAGCAATTCAAGTTTTACTGTTTGATTTATGAAACTCCAAATCTGTGTGGATTTATTTTTTGTAATTAAAGGAAAATATTAAGACAAATATTTGCCAAGTAGATGCTCTCCRAGTTAGGGGATATAATTTAAACAGCATGCATAAGACAGGATCCCTGCCTTCAGAGGAACCTGTGGTCCCTTTGGAGATACTGCCAACAGAAAAAGATAATGTAAGAGGAATCTGAGTTGTATGTGGTAGCCAGGTAAATTATTAGTGAGCCAAAAATTGCTGGAAATAGGAGTCAGTTCTAAGGATCAAAGTCCATATAAAACTAAATTTATATTTTTAATGATTTAATATAACAGTACTGAAAATCTCTTTCTCCCTTTCATTCCAACTACTAAATGTAGTCAGAAGGAATAATAATAATCTTTACAGAATCTACAATTTATATTTTTCACAATTTAGATGCCCTGTCTCTGATTGTCAGTGTGTTTTTTAATTTWAAAAAAAAGCAAATCTTAATGCATATTTAAAAATGTTATCAATGGCATATTGTTTTTTCACAATTGGACTTACTGTTCAGTGAACCAACTAACAATACTGATTTTGAGCRTAGGATGTCCAATATAGTATTGTTAATAAAAGCACCTGATATGTATAATAAGTACAGAAGAATTACATACGTGAATTCATTTAATCCCCACAGATCTCAAATTTCAGGTCACTTTTATAGATTTTGTCTACCTAATGCTTAGAGAGATTAAGTGATTTGAAAATATTGTTAAAGTCAATTTTATAACCCAATTTTCTTCCACTTGTTCTTTTGAACAACTTCCATTCATTGTAAAGGACAGATTGGGATAGAAATTAAAAATCAGGGTAAAAATGGGAGTTCATAACCCACTTGAATCAAAGTGTGAAATATGATATATCAAGAACTATGTAATGTTTTGAACAATCAACAATAAAAAAAGAAAAAAAAGAAATTAAAAATCAGAAGCAGTTTGCATCAACAATTTTACAATTAACTAAGAGATCTGCAAAGTGTAAAAAAAAAAAATTGATCCTTTATTATCCAGAAATAAATGGGATGACATATTTGAGCAAGTGATATATAAAGTAGAAAATATGCAGGCAGAGTAGAAAATGGTTACTATTAGTCATGGGATTAGTTTTCTGATTTTTTTTTAATAAGCTGTAGTCTTTATAGAAATTTTCTGGTTATTTTTCTTCAGCCAGTTGATAGAGATCATCCTTCTAATTTCAAAATTATCTTTACTTCTAAGATCCCTTTTTGGATCCAGCAAGTGGCCAAGTTCCTTTGCCTCCCGCAAGGAGATTACCAGGAGAAACTGTCAAATCCAACAGAACATCACAGGACTATGATCAGCTTCCTTCATCTTCAGGTGGGTTGGCTAATAATYGTAATAACAATACCTTAAGTTTATATGGTGCTTTTTGCTTTTCAGAGTGCCTTTCTTTTCTTTATATAATTTAATGAGCACTGCCTGTCCAAAAAAGTATTTTATTCTTAYCACCTTTGCGTTTTGCTTATAAAGCTTGCATTATGAAAGGAATGCTCACAGTACAGCCTCGGGGAAAAGAGAAAAATCAGACTTAATATCGTCTTTGATCACTCAGTAAAGCCACTTTCTTCAATTCAAGATTCATTCATTCTTTAACTTTTGTTTTGCCTTATCASATCAGGGAAGTGGGGGAAAATCTCTTTGTACATTGAAATGCCATGTTCTCTCATTTATCCATTAAGGCAGAATTCTCTTTAGAATTAATACTAGCACCAAGCAGTATTATTCTATAAGCTGTTAGTTCTCATAGTTTGTTTTATAGCTCCTGTGCAGTGTTCCACTGTTAACCATGAAGTTCCAGTATATTCCATTTTGGAGAATACAGATTATACTCATACCATCAGTAACAAAGCCCTGCTGCTTTGCCTCCTAGGAGGCCTTCCCTGTCTACTGTATCCCAGTAGCACCCCCATATTCTGTAGTTGCTCWATGTCCCCTTTTGCTTCATAGTACCTGTCACTACCTGAAGTTGCATTATTCTTTCCATGCTTGCCTATTGTTTATCTTCTCTGCTAAAGTACATTTTGAAGATAGGCATGTTATTTGGTCTGTTGCTTGCCTTAGCTGGAGCTACTGTACCTGAATACTGTAGATGAAGGTAGCTTAAAAATCAAACTCATTTCTCACATTTCTGGAGACTGGGAAGTCCAAAATCAAGGTACTGGTGTTTGGGGTCTGGAAAGGGCTTTCTTCCTCTTATATACGTGATCATCTTTTCCCTGTGTCCTTGCAACAGCAAAGGAAGGCTCTGGGGTCTCTTAAGGGGACATTAATTCCTTGCAGGGAGGCTCCACCTTTATTACATAATCACCATAAAGACTTCAGTGGACATGAACATTCAGTCCATAGCACTGCTGTAGCCCCAGATATCCAAAAGCAAGCCTAGCACATGTTTCTTGGGTAGATAACTGAAGGAAGAATGGATGCATGCATGGATGGATGGATGGGTACGTATATGAGTGGGTAGATGATGATACATGAGGTATGCAGAATTCCCTCTATAGTTTTCCATGTTTTAACTTTTGCATATAATTCAGGATAACATAGAAAATTTTACTAACCTTTCATGTTCTCTTACCAGTTTATTTTAGTTTCTCAGGTTTCAGGTATATCCATGTGAGGCCTATAGTGCTATTCAAAATGATAGATTTGATAATAAGTCAAAAAAATAGAGATGATATCATATAAAAGAAAAAGCAAATCCTTTAAGGAAATAACATTAAGATACAATTTTGAGAAAATTATCACGACTGATTTAAAATGACATTTTCAACACCACCAACTCTGGATTGAAAAAAACATACTCAAGTTATGGAAAGAATTGTGGCCACAGTGTTATTTTCACAGTTACTTTACTGTTTTCTTTATATTATATGAGTGTTGTGGAGCCCAGAAAAACAGCACTCACATGTATGATTCCCAGGGATACAAAACCCAATTAGCATTACACTAAGAATTTCAGGAARAACTTTTGAGTAACAAAAACCTTGCTGAAATATCCCCACATAGCCATTTAGAAGAAGCCYGATCTAGTTTTTGCCTAAGCAATAAAAATAGTACTGATGATTACTCTGAGGGCCTCATATAGCTATAACAACAAATATTTCAATATGCTCTATAWACTGTCTTCACAAACACAAAAGAAAATAAAAAAAACTTGATTTCCAACTAGTATTTGCACACACATACAGCTCACTGGGCTATCTGGCTGTCCACTGATACATTTCACACAAGCACAGAGCTTGTGCTGGCTCTCTGAATTAAGTCTTTCCATTCACAACCTGAGACTGGATGAGAGGATGCTATGTGCTTTCAGGATTCCAGTTGCCTTACTTTGTAGTAACTAATCTGTTTTTACCAAAGTCTCTTAAAATGAGAATTCTGGTGTGATTGTTGCACTTTATAAATTCAATTTCGATTATCTTTTATAGATAGCTAAATAATTCTTAATAACTTATTTATGGATATGTTTCTGTGAAGAGTATTTCTAAAGAATTCCAAAATATAGTTTCATTAATATAAAAATATCTGTCTTATCTAAATATAATGTGTGCACAAAYATGCATGTCTACATGTACAAAAGAGCCTTCCAAATGTTTTATTCTTCCCAGAGAAAATATTTTATAATTTTCTTCAAGATTTTTAAAGTTAACTATTTATATTTAATCACATAAATCTTATTCTGATTATGTTTATGATATACTTAACTAACCAGTATTAAATTCACATATAATATAATRTATATGGGGCAAATTTTTTGCTACTTTTACATGGGTGTGTTATTCATCCATGTAACATATAGCCATATCTATAATATCTCTGTTAAACTTTTTACAAAATGTTTAGTTTGCCTTCTGCTTATAATTATATTTTGTTAGAGTTTGAATTCTTTAAAAAATCTATAGTTCTTGTGCTGAACAAAATTAACCTTGACGATTTTTCATAGCATTAGTATTTACAAGGAAGTTCAATGTTTCACTTGAAAATGATGTTAGAATTTTATGCAACATGTATTAATTATGTTTGTAACTAGTGAAATATCTCATTGACAAATATATCTCATAGGAGATCTCATTATAAAAGGAATTAATTTTAATACTATATTTCCTTTACTAGATTAAAAGAAAACTGAAGGATGTAATGTAAATTTTATATTACCACAATATTTTGTAGTCATCTTTGCAAAAATCTCAACTGGAAATCATGGCTTCACTTCACACAGGGGATAGAACTGTACAGTGATTTCAAAACCTGGATTCTGGTCATTTTCACATGACCTTAAAAAAGCCTACATGCTTCCAGTACTTTCAACACTAGCAAAATCTGTCACTGTGAGCAGCTCAGATCTATAAAACTAACAGAGGGGATCGGAGTCTATTTCATTTTGGTGGTCATTTTATGAATTATAAAAGTAGTACAAGTACATTGGGACATAAAATGGAATTACAAAAAAATCAGTAGGAAAAAGTAGTCACTTATAACCCTATCATCAATAAGCAGCATTATTTCTATTTTGGAGYACTCTTTTCTAATGTTCTGTTCATGCACATTTTTATATAGTTAAGATCACACTCAATATGGCAATTCTATCTCAATTACATTTAACATAGTATCATAAATATCTTACCACATCATTAATTTTTTTAATAAATGTCATTTAAATTATTGTWTGATAGTTTATCATTTTTATGTGCTGTCAAACACTACTGTAGTATTTTAAAAGTCTAACAGAAACCCTAACTTTTTATGGAAGAAAGCTTAARACATTAAAGACCTTGGCTTTTGTCTAGAAATACAGAAACTGGGTTGATAGTTATGGCTAAACAGGACTTAGTATAACAAGTAGAAAATGAAAAATGTAATTAGTCAATATAGTAGCATTTGCTTCTTAGACACATCTTTCAAAATATGGGGAAAGGGCAAAGTTTAGATAATGAAGGAAGAAATAAGAACACCACTGAAGTGGAAGTTCCATTGACTCCTATCTGTAGATTATGTAGATACCCACAAGTGGGACTGACTTTTTTTTTTTAACACCACAGTCTGCGTAAGAGGAATATGTGGAAATTTGTTTTTCCTGATTATTCCCTGCCCCCATAACAAATAAAGTTCAATGCCACTGACATGCTTGATCTCCATGTGCTATGGATTCTTTGGAGGGTCACACACCATTTTATCACCTGTGATTGTTTTTTGTTCATCCTACAAGTACCAATTTTTAGTTCTTTGAGGATCATGCTGCTCCTATCTAGTATGCATGACCTAGAAAAATCATTCTAGGTAGTATTCCAGCCATGTTTTACATCAGTCTATTTCCTGTATCATTCAAAGCTTTTCTCTTTGCTTTTCCAAATGTTCAAACAATGAAAACTGAACCAAGATTTACTCTTAAACCAGGGCTTTTCAAACCTTTCTTCCCCCAAACAAGTGTTAACTGTGAACAATACAAGTGTTAGCTAAAAGTAGACAGCTGCCTGCAAGAAATGGCTTCCAAGTCTGTTTTATTACAAAAATTCATGCAAGCCCTACACTTCACTCCTTGGTACATTTGCATTTCAGTAACTAAAGCATATTAATGTCCTCACATCTTTGAGTACTCCAGGAAGATGTACTCTTTGTATCCTTTGGCCCTAACTTTTCTCGAACTTGTTTTGATATGCTGTCATTTTCATTGGAGTTCAAAAATACTATCATCATGAACAGCCATATAGACAGGTTCTCYATATATATTAATGGGGTTCATTGTGACATTTCCATATGTGCAGTGTACTGATCAAATTCAACATCCTGTTTCGCCTCATCCCCACCCTTTCCCAATCCTAGTTATCCCTATTTTCCTTAAGATCTTTTTTGTTGTTTTTTTCACATGTGAATGAATGTGAAGTACTTGTCTTTCGGTTTGACTTATTTCACTTAACAGTACCTTCCAGTTCCATTCATTTTGCTGCAAATGACAGATTTTCATTCTTCTTTATGGATGAATAATACTCAAATTGTGTGCGTGTGTGTGTGTGTGCGGGGGAGGGGGGGTGTAACAGTTTCTTTATCCATTCATCTGTTGYTGRGTACCTAGGCTAATTCCATATCTTAGCTATTGTGAATAGTACTGCCATAAACATGGGTCTGTTGGTGTCTCTTTGGTATGCTGATTCCATTTACTTCGACTATATACCCAGGAGTGGGACAACTTGATCATGAGAGTTCTATTTTTAGTTTTTTGAGGAACCTCCATACTWTTCTCCATATTGGCTGTACTAGTTTGCATTCTCACCAGTGGTATTGAAAAGTTCATTTTCTACATTCTCCTCTCCTGTTATTTT